AAAAATTTTTTATACAGGATTTACATTGAAAAGGCATTACAAGTAATCCAGAAATTAAAGTATATGAGAGTATCATATATACTGTGCTATTTTATCTTTTTTTGTTGTTGTTATTGTTTTGTTTTGGGTTTTTTTGGTTTTTTTTTGTATTTAGTAAGGGTCTACAGTGTCTCACCATGTAGATCAGGCTTGTAGATTCTCCTATTTTCAGCCTCGCAAGTGCTGGGATTACAGGCCTTGCTGTCTGTCCTATCATCAGGGTGAATAAGGTTTTGTGAAGACACCTTCACGTTGGCAAGATTGGGTCTCATTAGGCTTAAGGGTACCTGGCATAGGCTAAGGGTATGAGGGTAGTAGCCACAGCAGGGAAGCAGCAGGCCTACCTCCCACTACCACAACAGCCTCTTTGCATTCTTTCTTGGACAACTTCTCCACTGTGGCCTGCAGCAGAGCGCAGGCTGGGGTGTCAAAGTAGAACATGTTATAAGTAAAAATGTCAAATGCTGCATCTCTTTATCTGTAAAGTAGGAATACTTACACTGACTCTCTATCACAAGAGTTTAACATGAGAAGCCCAATGTGTGCAGCTCACACTATTATTACATGTCTTTCTCTACCTGTGTACAGATCCAATGACTGCAGGAAGCCACTTTCCTCTTTTCTCACTTCTAGTTAGGCTACCATAGGTCCTCTGGACCCACTCATTCCAGAGAAGATGGAGACAGTGCTGTTTTAAGCAGTAAAGGACAAAATAAGCCATGCCTCTCTGAACTTGTGTTTGTACACTGTATCTCTTTCCCAGAACAAGAGGAGCTCTTCCTAAAATAAAGTTATTTAGAACTTCTTGTTAATTTATGAAAGTCATAATTCAATATAATTCAATTTCATGGATTTTTATCTTTTTACTTTTATTTTATTATTTTTTTTGGTGAGGGGGTGCCAGGGATTGAACTCGGGACCCTGCGCTTGCCAGGCAAGCGCTTGTTCTACTGAGCTATCTCCCCAGCCCCTATTTCATGGATTTTTAAAATTATCTTGCTCAATTCTTTACTGACATATTGAAAAAAATTTGTCCCTTGAAATCATCATATTCAGCCTAAAAAACCCCAACTTGGTCCAAATTTCCCACTTTGGCTTTGCCAATGTGATAGCACCACTGGTCTCATCTCTTCTGCTTTGCTTCTTAATTCAGATATGGCTTACTCAGCAGTGCCTTCGCTGCTCTCCACCAAACGTAACTTCAGAAACAGTCTCGGTGTGACAGAGACCAGCATCCCGAGAGCTTTTCACAAACGGGATTTTTAAGACATTCAGAATTGCCTAATTGACAAGTGAAAAAAATTATTTCTCAGATGTTAATTTTTTATTTGATTTCTGTATTATTTTCTCCTAAACAAATGCATTGTAGTGCACCATTTCAATTAGTTTAAATTACTTTAGTGGTCCAGTTTTTTCTAACTTGGAACGAAGGTTCAATTCTCCTTCATTTTCAGTAGAGAAGACAGAAGACGCTCCTAATGATAGTCATTGCACATAGCCTGTCATAACTTAGAATAGTAGCTCTGCCAGGGACTTCAGGGATGCCAACTTCAACCTACTTTGATCATGTTTTAAGCTTAACAAAGTAGAGGTGATAGAGCTGAGGTTCGGCTGGTTGGTCCTTTTCCTTCAGTGCGTTTCTCCAGAACGGGTTCACAAGCCTTCTAACTTCTTCTACTTCAAGACTGCTTTTTCTCTTCCCTCCTGATCAGATCCATGATCTTCACAAGCTGCATGCCTTCCCATCATTTACCACATTTCAGAGTTCTCATTCATAAAATGCAGCATTCATACATTGTTCTTTTCATATAGGTGGCTGGAATGACGTGGGCGCATCGCCAATTCTCTAAAAATTCAAAAGTAAACTAACTTACAATTCCATGCTACGGATAAAGCAAAAAGACACACGTAATCAGAACGGGAGAAAACTGATTTGCAGGTCAGAAAGTAAGCTCCCATTCTCCTTAGTTTTGGGACTGGGCCCCGTACATCATAGATGGTCAGCAAATACAGGCTGATCTGGTTGCTGAGGGTCTCTAAGGATCAGGCAGCAGCAGGTAGGAGATAATAACAGAAAGCAGCTCAGAATTTGGAAGTCCTGGCATTTGGTACAAGGTAAATATTGTTTATCTGAAATGCCTAGGACAATAAGTGCTTCAGATTTGGAAACATTTGCATATACATATTGAGAAATTTTGGAGAGTAAGCCTAACTTAAACACAAAAGCAAAACCCAAATTCATTTATGATTCACATATGCCTTACAAACACAGTCTAAAATGAATATCATATAACTTGTTAGTGTTTCTGCACTAGGACTACAACGTATCACCTAAGTTACCGCGGGGTAAGTGTGGGGCTTTTCGCCTGTGAGGTCGTATCAGTGTTCAAGGATTTAGGTTTCGAACCCTTGCAGATTTCAGATCTGTGGCTTTGCTCCACCTGTACCAGCTCTGAACAAACCAGGTCATGGGCTATGAGCACACTTTTTTATTTGGCAAAATCAGTGAGCTACCACGAAGTCATTTTGGGCTATTTTCTGTCTTAAAAATTCTATGACAAAATACATTAATTAAAATAAAGTGTACTAATTAAACCTAAAAGTTGAAGGTCTCCAGAGAGATTTATGACCAAGCCATCTACCTCTTTCTTTTATTTTCTATAGCCAAGAAACATGACTATCCCATTTAGAAACTTTTTTAAGAAACCTTAGTTTTCCTATTATTCTCTAGCAAAAAATTTTAGTTAAAAAATCATTCCCAGGTTTAATCTAAAATCATTTCTATTTTTATATTTCTGTTAATCAATTAAGAACTTAAATGGCTAATTATACAATCCCACAATCTTCATATTTTGGGGATATAATTTTATTTCCAATGGAAGTATTAAGAGATACAGTCAATTAGTCATAAAATCATTTTCCTTGATGCCACATCATTGAATAAATCATTAAGCTTATGCACTCTGCATCTTTCTCAATTTATATTTGTAGTAAAACTTAATTAATTTTCTCCTAGGAAATACCTGCTTATTAAATTAAATCTCATTCACCACGACTTCTCATTTATCTGAGCAATTTTGAATAGAAAAGAAAGTAAAACCTTATTATATAAATGTTTAGAGAGATGACATTAATCTTATCCTAAATTAAATAAAGAAAAGGTTAAATAAACATAATCTTTCAGGAATTACAGCATGAAACATAAAAATTATAACGCTTACCCCTTACATTTTTGTAGCCTATTCTTGAAATACGTATCAATATAATACTGAAATTAAGTTATTGTTTTCTTGCCTTTTTGTCTTATTTTACGAAAGTTTAAGTTAGATGGCATATGAATTCCCATCTAGAACTTAATTTAAATATTATATTCATTTTTTAAGACACATACATGCTACTTTTCTACTTATGTAATGCATTTTACTGTATTTCTGCTCATAAAATTATGCAACAGAGACTGCTGGTACATTGATCATCTATCACAATTTCCTATAAATATGCATGTTCATTCACATACAAACATTTCTTATCAAATATGTAAAAGTTAATGGTCTCAGAATCATAATAAATTAAAGACAAAGCAAGAAAACTTTTTTCAATAGTGAGTGGCTATATAACCTTATATGAGGCAAATATTATGCAATCTCTTAATCTTTTACAAAACAGTCTCTATGAAGAAAAAACCAAATAGTTCATTTACATATTATGAGAGGGTGGTTTAAATCTATGTCTATATTAACGAAAACAAGAAGACTAGTAAGTATGTTTCTTCTTACTAGAAAGCAAAAACAAAATAAAAAGCCTTAACAAGTACTGTCAGCTTTCCCTTAGCATCATTTTAATAGGAAGGGCTTTATACTTCCTACAGTCATTCTGAAAAAGATTCACAGAAAGTGAGATTGAGAAACATGGAGATTAACCTGAATGACAGAAACAGACCTATGACCTGGACTCAATGGACAGAAGGAAATAAAATCAAATAAACCTTAAATGGAGTAACTTTAAGTTTGATTTTTAACTTAAAAATGGATGTGTATTTGGTTGGGAACATGAGCATTAGATTTGATGCTCATTTTTATGACTCTACTTCCTTAATTTGGCCCTGATCAGTTTCAGGAGAATCTGTACTTATGAGGCAGGACATCCCTGTGAGTACCATGTCTCTAACAGGACAAGAGGTTCCCACACCACAAGAATAGACAGGAAAAGGGACCCAGGAACTAGCTCAGTAGAACAAGCACATGCCTGGAAAGTGCAGGGCCTGAGTTCAATCCCTGGTAGAAAAAAAAAAAAAAAAAAGAAAGAAAGAAAGAAAGAAAGTCATGTGGTTAGTAAGCAGTTTGCTTGGACTACCTGATGCTGTTTTTTTTTTTTTTTTCTATCTTATGTAAATGAAGTTGAGAATGGCTGAGCACAGAAAGAAAAGACAGATAAACTGGAGAATTTTGATGTTGCATGGAGTTCAGTAAACCACTAAAAGCAGACAGCATCTAAAGGCAATGACAACATAGCAAGTAAGTAACTGGAGGGAGGAAGGAAAGACAATATTTAGCAAGGTATGATAACAGTGTGCCTAGTGTTTTTCAAAATCAATACATAGCTTAATTTACCAAAATAGCTAACAGAGGTCAAATTATATGACCTCTAATCTCACTTCCCATAGCTTTGAAACACTGGAAAACAAATACTTTGAGAAGTAGTGATCCTCACCTATAAAACAAGAGTAATAGTAACATCTAGTTTATAGGAGAGCTGGGAAGAATAAATTAGATACTTATATGTTACGTTCACTGCTGGTATATAAATAATAAATAGTATTGGAATTATAGACAACATATTACAATGTTGATAGTGTAATTTTTAAACACAAGTAGACATAATGGGTTATTCAGTTTGGGTATGAATTGGTGATACGCAGTTCAAGTACATATTTGCAACCAGTGCAAAATAGAATCCTACGAATGGAAATGCACCCACATAAGTCCATGCCCCAAAGCTCCTATGAATCACACGAACCAGCTCTTCCCACCACAGTCTTTGGTCTTGGCAGTGAAAAAACAAAAGGTGAATGTAACAGGGAAGCTGGGAAGGATAAAAAAGAGCTCCCTCTTCCTGCAGTAAATGAAGAAACAAGTAAGGAAAATTCCTAACAATCATTTCTTTGCTCCCCAGAGAAAGCCAGTGACATCCCAATTAATGATCCAGATCCCAAACAGGAAAAATAGAAAAGTGCATGTGTGGTGAGGTTCATTAAAAGCCTCAAAAATGAATCACATTCCCTTCCCCCACCCCACCCCTCTTAACTGCAAACAGATGTCCTTCGTGCAGCGGCATGTGGAGGTTCACTGCTGATGAGCTGAAGCACCCCGTCCACTCAACCTCGGAATTTGCCCATCTTCGAAGATTAATTTCTCATGACAAGTAGCTTGTGCAGGTGTAGCTTGTTTGTCACCATTTTTCTGGTTTTAATGATAAGCAGTTTACTTAATTTGAGGCTTGAGTATCTAGTTTAGTTTCATAGTCGAGCATTCTGGTCATATATATATAATCCCAGCACTCTGGAAGGATGAAGCAGAAAGATTTCAAACTTGAGCCTGGCCTGGCAGTTCAGTGACTTAATGAGACCTTGTCTTAAAAAAATAAAAGTATTGGGTACGTGGCTCAGTGTAAAGCTGTGGGTTCAATACCAGGTACCATAAAAAAAATCTGCTTGTTTCCTCAGAGTTACAGCTACACATCGGATCTACTTATGAGTACTATGGACAAAGAAATAGAAATAAGAACTCAGAGATTAAGGCAACCTACTGCTTGCAGGAGAAAAGAATACAGATTCAACTCTTCTGACTTCTTTGTCCATTATACCATTAGCTAAACTCTCAACTTCTCCCAGTAAATTGGAGTTTGATTTTCAGTAGAAAGATGAAAATATTTGCCTGGTATAAATGTCAGTTCTTTAGCCTGGAGTTTTTGTGATTTTCTTTCAACATTTATTAGTACATGCTTGATGCTTGCAGTACATAAATATTACATTCACTGTGTGGAATTGATAAATATACATAACACATTTCAACTCATTTTGCCCCCATGGTGTCCTTTCTAAATCTATTGTCTGTTGTGCAGTATTTATGTTGAATTGTAAAACTCCATGAAGGCAAACACTTACCCAGCAAACAATCCAAGCTTCAATAAATACCTTATCAGTGACTGACTTTATGAATTTTTCCAAGTTCTATCCCTATATAAATTATGAAGTTCCATGAAAACTCAAAAAACAACCTCATCCAGAGGAAAAAACAGTGAGCAGATTCAATTCAGAGGAAATGAATGCTGCCGTGTCATCTGCCTGAGGATGGACGACATAGATCGTTGTGGCCAGAGGTCTATATATAGCAAGTGAAGAAACACAGACTTGGTGTTCCCAAGAACCCATCTCATTAGGTTTAAGCTTCTTTTCCTGTGCAACAGCACAAAAAGAAAGACAACTCTTTCGCATCAGTATCATGACTGCCACTAACTCAGTGTCTTTGTTTTTTTGGATGCTGAATTTCTGCATGTGACAAAGAACTGCTGCATTCGCCTGGTTGTTTGCACTTTTATGTATCCCTGTGCAGGGGTGGCCTTCCTCCCATGAGGACTGTGGCATCACTACGTGTCACAGTTGCATCTGAAAAAGCTTTATGATAAACTCCACACTTCATGCCTCCTATGAAGATGGTGGCAAGATTTTACTGGTTGTGTAAGAGAAGTCATTGCTCATTGGTTTTACTACAAATAATAATATACCTCTTCCCTGCCTGCCAATCAGTGAAATCTATTTCTTTCCTTCAAAGAGTTATGAGTTGGATTTCTAAAACAGAAAATCTGATCATGTCACTGACATAAGAAATTCGGGTGGCAGCTACCTACCAATTCCCAGAAAAGGCCAAGATCCCTGATCCAACATATGACCCCTGCATAGCTTTCGAGCCTCAGTTCCCTTCATCTGCCCTCCAGCATCTGGCCTCATTCTTTCAAACCACCTAACATTTCCCTACACCCACATCCTCTCTTCTATCTCTGTGCTTATGGGTGATTCCTCTTTTAAAAAAAGTATTCTTTCCCAGCTTTGTGTATTGTTACCTGCTCTCAAATTTGAGTCCATCCTGGGCAATTTAGTGACATAGCAAGAACCTGTGTCAAGATAAAACAATTTAAAATGTCTTGAAGAGATGACCTTTCAGTGCAGAGGCCTCACACTAAATCACCAATCCTGGAAAAAAAATTATTTCTTTCTTTTCCAGTTTTCAGCGACAGTGATCCCTTAGAGAATTTTTAAGTATAGGCTAAAATGCTAATTTTCAGGAAAGTTGTCCATTTGTCCTTCCATGAGCAGTGAATCTTTGCAGTCCCCCATCTCTCCTGTCTCCTACTGGAGTACATAACAAGTGCAGTTACACAAAAATCCCGGGTCTTCATGGCATCCTCAGGGTCTGATTACCTGGACCCACAGGTTGCTGAGTGCAAATAATGGGTTCTGCCCAGCTGCATAGCTGAAGGACAGAGATGAATGGCCTGGGCAGTTCTGCCTTCCCTGGCAATGAAGTCTTCTAGCCACAGTGAGCCTGCTAGTATTTGCAACTATTTTGCTTACTAATGTTTTAACTTTCACTGTCCTATTGTAAGTGTCTCTTGCTCAGAGAATGGGAAAGGGATTGTACCAGACTTTAAAATGCAAAGCAGCATCCCCCAAGATAAGGACTGTAAAACATACTAAAACAAAAAAATATAGAAATTTGATTCCTTATGCCTTTTAGCATAGTGCTTGACAGCATATTCTTCTTTATTCAGCGTAGTGCAGACAAGCACATGTTTTATGAATGGAACTACATTTTTCCAGTGAGAAGCCAAACTGTAGCCAATCTTGATAATTGCAAGGTGTGACTTAAATGGAGATCAAGAATATTTTCAGAAAATTCATCCCTATAGACAGTAGGCACTGTCATGACCAGTTTATAAATTTAAAAATTGAAAACAGTAAGTAATTATTCCAGTACCACCAAATCCTTTTGCTAGCAAAAATAACCATGATCATAAAAGTTTTTGGTGAATACAAGTAGCTACTGAATGCTCTCAGGGATATTTTCTAATAGCTTCACCACCGATACTTTAGAACTGGATGGTGGCACAATTCCAACAATGAATCCCACTCATGATTGATTCATGTTTCTATTTTCTTGGCTTTAAAAGATAACACAGTTCTTTCAAAATGTGCACTAACAATAACATTGCCTTTGCAACTTATCTCATCAAGCCAATTCTTCACTTTGAAAGCCTGCAAAAATTGAATCCAATACAGAACAAATCCATCAACTTCTAATTACTAAATGACCACTATAGACCCATTCTAGCCAGCACGTGGCTAAGTACCACAGGCAGTACCAAAAGTCAACACAAAGCTCTTTGATAAAATTTTAAAAATCGTAACAAAGCCTTGCAAAAAAAGATCCCCTCTGGTTTGAAAAATGCACCTTGACTTTCTCAATAAACTCTTAGAGAGGACTTGCTCTCTGTAGTGAGGCTATAAGACAGATTGTAGGCATAGATTCTGAGTTCAGCCCACATGAGGTAAAGTGACATACACAAGAAAAAGTGGGAGAGAAGTATAAACGGGGGGAGAGAGAGGGGAGAGAGGAGAGGGGAAAGAGGAGAGAGAAGAGAGGAGAGAGGAGAGAGAAGAGAGGAGAGAGGAGAGAGGAGAGAGAGGGGAGAGGGGAGAGAGGAGAGAGGAGAGAGGGAGAGAGAGAGAGGACTTTGTAGAGAACAGCATGAACAAAAGTTGTTTCGTACAAACAAGTATAACATGAGAGAAAGTTCAGTTTGAAGCTTGGCAGAAAATACAGATGGAAAGATAGGTTGTTTAATATCATAGAGATGTGACTATCACAAAAATCTGAAGCTGAATTCACATGCATAAGACAACTTTTAAAGGAATGGTCAAAATGATAATTATTTAAAATTAGCTTGGCATATGACATGAAATTACAAGGAGATAAATATATGTTGTGGCAGCTTTGCTTCTGGTTGACTCAGGGGTGAGATGAAAACCGTAGTGAGCCTTTTGGTCTATGTGTACAGCTTCTATCACTTGGAACTCTCTTAATTGCGAGGGGTTTCTCTCTATGCAAAGCTCATCATTATGAAGTCTTTTGCCATAGCACTGGGAATTCTGGGTACCTTCTGTGTGCACAGAACTAAAAAGTGTTATACCACAGCATTTATGTATACTCTAATATTACATAATGCATTGCTATATTGCAGCTATACAATACTTAGTATATTGATGTGCACTAACAATAACATTGCCTGGGGGTGAGAGAGAGAGAGAGAGAGAGAGAGAGAGAGAGAGAGAGAGAGAGAGAGAGAGAGAGTAGTTCCTCTGCATTTATAGAAAGCATCATAAAGACTGTTTGGTTCTAATAACTCTTCTTAATGGATATATAAAAATGCTGCCCTCCAAGAAGGCTAAGCTTACAATATAATCTCTATACTCTCCGTAGCACCTGACATGTATTATACACTCAGCAACTATTAATTGGCTTCCTTTTTGTTTAATGCAGAGAAGACAGTTGCTGTCTCAGTGTTAGGTTTCATTTTATGCGTGTAACTTGCCTGGCTCACAGGTGCTCAGATACGTGATTAAACATCTCCATGCATATATCTGTGAGGGTGCTTTGGATAAAATTGTGTTCTGTCTTGCTTCTGAATTTCGATCTGTTTTCAGCTCTCAAAACAAACTGTCTCCAGTTCATATACACTGCTTTCTGTTCTCAAAAGTACTAGGCATCTTCCTGAATCCTATTTCCTCTCCCCAGAATACTATCTTTCTCCTTATTTCTATTCTTTTAATCTCAAGTGTCACTTTTTTTAAAAAAAAAAAAACCTTCCCTGACCATCAATCCCCAATGTAGGTCAAGTTCTCCCATACATTTATTTTATATTGCTTACAATTTTAATTACACTTGGCTAATGTCCCACCATGAAATTATGAAACAAGGCAGGGCAGATTCTGGGCTGCTTATCTTAATATGCTGGCACATAGTCCACTGCCCTGCGAGACACAGTGTAAACACACAACAGATGTTGGGTTTATGACA